CGATTTTTAGAAGTATTAGGATAGATTTTTAGAAGAATTAGGATAGAATTTTTTAAGAATTAGGATCGATTTTTAGAAGTATTAGGATAGATTTTTAGAAGAATTAGGATAGAATTTTTTAAGAATTAGGATCGATTTTTAGAAGTATTAGGATAGATTTTTAGAAGAATTAGGATAGAATTTTTTAAGAATTAGGATCGATTTTTAGAAGTATTAGGATAGATTTTTAGAAGAATTAGGATAGAATTTATTAAGAATTAAGATCGATTTTTAGAAGTATTAGGATAGATTTTTAGAAGAATTACTGAATTAGGATAGATTTTTAGAAAAATTAGGATAGATTTTTAGAAGAATTAGGATAGATTTTTAGAAGAATTAGGATAGATTTTCGAGCCTCCTTCCCTACAAGTGGGTTTCTCCTCTCAACCTCATCTCACTCCCCCCCCCATTATTGCATTAGCTTCCAGATCATTCTGTTGGCATTTTTCTCTGAAAGGTTTCGTTGCAAGTGTTCCGTGTGGTTGTTGTGATTAGTACTACTGCGTGTGATGCACCACAGTGGTCCCCACCCCCGCTTTATCAGGACAGGTCAACAGGGCAATAAGTGAAGATGTTCCGAGATTAGGTGGCAAACACATGTTCACTCGCACATGCATGTCAACTCGTTCTTCACGCACTTATCGTTTGTACACAGCACGCACTGTACAGTACACACGGCGTACAATGCACGTAGGTTTAATTCTGAAAAAAAAAATTTTGTGAGCTCATTATCTTCAGGATCTGCCAAAAAAAAACGATAATCGTCAGTGTGCTTTTAAGTTTAAGATAGCTTCGTTCGGCTAAATTTGTTCGACGGAAAACATTCACCTATGTTGGATTAGAATAACGTGCGTACGGATTGCTTTTTAATGACACATGTCGTGCAATGCACCTGTTTATCTGAAGACCGATAAGGTGGGGACCACTGTACTGCTCGATCTGTGATATTTGTCCTGTTGTTTGTCGTTCTCTTAAATTGACTACCTCACGAATTTTCTATGGTGTATATTTGTAATTAAAATTTTTGTTGCCATTTTTTACATTAATAGTAAGTACAAACGGGACTAAATGTATCGTCAAATTCTTACCTGATAAGATTTTTAGTTTAACTAGAAAGTTAGTTAGTTTCTCAACTAGTTAAAAATCCAAAAAAAACCTGGACGATTTGATATTATGATCCGGACATTAATTGCTTGCTATGGGCTATGTGCGAGTCACGAGTGTCACATCGAACAATATAGTAAGATAGAAAGTATAATGCAGCAATTTAACCATAAAAAGTGAACAGAATTACTTACATTTTGTGAAAAAGTGGAAATGTTTTTTTTAGTTTTACTATTTATGGTGACTTAATCACTTTAAACGAAACTCGACCGTAAGGCGGCTTGAGAAGAGTACTCGAACCTTGTTATACATGTGTGTTATATATTCGCGGGGAAAATGCGTCCTTTCCTTATTATGTCATTGCCAGGGACGCGTTCTCGGAAGCATCATAAATTGCTACGACTTTCATGTGTCTGGGGTATATCATGACGTTTGCACGACACTTTCCAAACGCGAGGACACTTTATACCTATGATGTAATAAATACTTCTCCTCCCTCTCTCTTTCTCTTTCTCCTCCCCTCTCTCTCTCTTTCTCTTAATCTCGGCCCACAGTATATGACAGAAGGTTTCATGTTAACGTCAGAAGTCCATAGTTTTAATACAAGGGAAGGTGAGATGTCTATTTTTAAACCGAGGGTGGGAAGCAGTGGGAAAAACTCTTTTACTTTTACTGCAATTGAAGCTTGGAACTCTCTACCACAGCAAGTTAGGACAAATTCTGTTTATTCTAGTTTTAAGTATAGTGTTAAGAAATGTCTGATGGAAAAGGTAGAAACATTAGAGGCAGAGGGGTATGATTTTCGCTAAAAGAATTCGGTTGAAATTAGGCATAAGAAAAGTTTGTATCGTCTGACTCTTATGAGAATGTACCATTGTATGACCGATTAAAACTACAAATCTGTATATTTCAATAGTTAGTGCTGATGGTGATAGTAGTGTAATTGTTAGATTCAATTAAGGCATAGCAAAACAAGGACCACAATGTAAATAAGTGTGCTAGTCATGCTTTTTGTGTATATATCCTTGGTAATTATCCAATTTTATGAATTCAGAATTTTATTATAAAAGTATGCTATGTATTGTATATGATGGATAATTGCCTAAATAAATAAATAAAAAATAAATTTATGATGTTTCTGACAATGGCAGCCCTGGATGATGTAACGGCGTAGATTCGACTATCGAACTAATTTATATGATAGAAAGTCTAGCACAACTGTGCATCCTTGTGCCGCTCTTGTCATTACTGTTTGACTTGCGCTGAGTAGTCGCGGATTCTCATTGTCGCGACAGATTTCGTTGTCACGGCGATGCTCGTGAAACTTGGTCTCATGGTGATTCCGTTTACTCGCTCGCCTAGGTTAGCCTTCATGCTACATACAAAGTCCAGATTGCTAATTAGTATTTTCTTTGATTTGCAATTTCGGCTAACAAAGATTTTTTACCTGTTTTATTTCTTTCTCTTTTTCCTCCCCCTTTGCTCTTTCTTCTCCTTCTCTCTTTATCTTTCTCTCTCTCAGTCCCTATCCTTCCCTTCCTCTCCGATCTAGTCCCGACGCTCCTCATCGATATGCACAGACTTATGCGCCTACTTCACGCATGGTGCTCGCTCGATCGCTTACTATTCTCTCTCTCTCTCTCTCCACAGGCCTCCTCCGAGTCACCTCGCCAGCGGCGGAGGCGGCGCGTCGCACGTCACCATCAAGTCCGAGCCGATGTCGCCGCCGCGCGACAGCCACACTCCGTCTAGTCACCACAGTCTCGTCTCGGGTCACAGCCACCTGTCGCCGCAGGGCTCCAGTTCCGACTCTCAAACGGGTAACGCCGAGTGCGACAGCGGGCAGGCGGCCAAGCGGCAGCGCGTCGACGGGTGGTCATCGTAGCGTCGCGGCGGCGGTGACGCCACCCGGCGGGTGCCGCCCCCTCTCCCTCCCCCCGCCGCCGCTTGTTGCCGAGCGGACGGCGACGCCAGCCGCACGCGCGCGCTCGTTAATTTATTTTTGTAGAGAGGGCGCTCTCAGGCGGAGCTGCCGCCGTTGCCGCCGGGTCTCGGCTTTGGGCGGGGGGTGCGGGGGGTCACGCGGCGTGGCGAGCATCCCCAGATGGCGCCACTTGTGGTGGCGGCAGACGCCGGGTCACAACGCGTTCCCCGCGTGCACGCTCGGCCATGGAGGTGGGTGCGGCGCGCCAGTAGCACTCCCCGCGGGAGGGAGAGGTGCCCCCTGGCCGTCGCTCCCCATCACGCTCGCGCCTCCCTGCGTCACTCTGGAGTCTTTAGCCGCTAGCGCGCGGGGGGAGAGCAGGAGGAGGGGGCGGTCCAACGTTGCTGCCGCCCGTCCCACCTGCTCTCAGTAACCGCAGCGTCGCGGCGTGCCCGCTGCGCGCAGGTGCTGCCATCTCTCTGAGAGGATGTGACCTGTAACATAGTCTGAACGTAGTCCAATCGCCGCAACTCAAGCGGAGATGCGTCACTATGCGCACGTTCTGGTAGAGGGCTTCGGCGCGCACCGCCGCCGCTGCTGCCCTCTACAGGGGAAGGCGCCGGCCCGGCGCAGCGGAGAAAAGACAGTGGCGCACTCGCGAGGGAGTGACTTCGCCGAAATACCTCCAGAAATGGACGTTTCAAGTCTTTCGGGCACCCGCTGACTCTACGAGGAGTTTCAGAGAGTTTATGTTTTGTGGCCTAATGTGGCTTGTTGTTATGTACGAAGCATGTTAATCAGTATAATGTGTTCGGATGGCTGACGAGAAGTCGTAGTTGAAAAGCTCTGTGTAGGTTTTGATTTGAGTGCCATGTTCGAATTGTGTGAATTTTGTAATTTAGTGTTTAATAGCCTTGATATATATAGCCCATAGTAATTGTGTATACTGCTTGTATTATAGTATTGTTGAATTTCTACATCTTGAGCAAGTGTTGGATTGGTAAAAGTTATTTTGGTGACCTTGGCTTGCACTGTTTGATCTGCAACATATTTAATCGTAGTCATGGAATGTGTGCGTGTGTGTGTGTGTGTGTATGTTTAGGTGAGTACAAAACTGTTTTGACAGTTTTTTCGATTTTATGTAATTTTTCCAGTTTTTCATGGAAAGTTGTAATTAAAACGCGCACCCGACAAAAGAGTAATTATCACCACTCCCAGGTTGGGCGGGTTCTCCGACCCCCTCTTCGGAGAGTAGAGATTCGGGTCTTTTGTTATCACTTACCCCCCAAGTGTAAATTTGAATGTTACCACGCAACTGAATTTTTACGACGATACCGATACAGAGGAGGCAGAAGGTAACCGACGTGTTGTGCTGTGTAAAGCGTTAAAATTGTATTAAACTATTGTAAATCTCAGTGAACACCAGTCGTTAGATCTCATCGCAGAGAGAAGTGTTACGTAAGTGTGTGTGTTTTTTTCGTTCTCCGCCGCGCCTCCTCCCCCTCTGCCGCCCCTCTATTTCTGTTTAGCAGCGTCAATCCGCCCCTCCCTCCCCGGCGTACACAGCCGAGCCGTTGCTACGCTTCAATCTCGCGACCTCGGTGACGACTCCGGCGACTGCTAACGAACCCTTGCGCACGCACTGATATCAGGGCAGAGCACGAAGACAATGTCGATGGGTTTGCGGAAATCATCTCGTCGTTTTCCCTCCCCCCGGGTGTTGCGTGTGTGTGCGCGCGCGCGCGTGTGTGAAGCCTCACTGTGTAGAAGCGGGGTTTTCTCAGGCGTTTGAAGTGTAATGAAATGGTGCTATGAGCAGACGATACGCTACTCTCCTCGGTAGGTATAGATTTAGCGGGTTAGGGACATTCGTTGACGACGAAGTGTAGCGTCCCGTCCTAGCGTCGTTTAGTTTAAACAAAAAAGACATTCGTTTGCCTCTTGCACGTGCCTGTTCGTGGGATGGAACAATGTGGAGGTGCAACACAGTTGTAGAGGGCGCTGGTAAACGCACAGATGTTAACTGTTTTTAGTCGAGTGTACACCTTAAGTGACAGCACTGGGCAGCTGGTATTTTATAGACAGCGATTGTTGTATAGGTTAGAACAACTTTAAATATTGGAAAATCGTATCTTTTTCTATTTCTTTCTTTCGCTTTTTGTATCTGTTTCTGTTTATCTCACTCGCTGTTCCTCTTCCATCTCTCACTCCCCAGCTCTCTCTCTCTCCCTCTCTCTCTCTCCCTCCCACCCCCTCTATCCTCTTCCGCTCTCTTTCCCACTCTCTTCCTTTCTCTTGCTCTCTCGCAAGTTCTGTTAATTAATGTTGTGTTAATACCAAAGATGACGAAACTGTGTTCAGTAACGTTTTGCTCAAAATCAAACGCGCAGGCTAGACTCGTTTAGAAATTGTATTAAGTATCATCCGTGTTTATATTTCGTTTCCTCGTGCGAGTGTTGGCGCTGCCTCAAGCGCCACCTGGGTTTGTAGCCTTGTCGTAGTCTTAGCCACTTATCAAAAGTTCACTGTTAGATATCGGCTGCTACGATATCCCACTACTGATTACGTCATCGGGTCACGACCTTCGAGGCACATGCAGCGGACGTGTGCTGAATGCGCGGCGCACTCGTCGCTCGGTGCGCCCTCTGTACAAAAGAGCATTGTATTCTGAGTGTGTATGATAATTTTTGTAAACTACTCGCAGGTGATTTAATAGTCTGATTTGACGGTTTTATCAAGTGTTACGTGCTCAATCGTTGTAGTAGCCCAGTGATCGGTGCATCAAACAAGGCGCGGGCTCCCTCCCACTTGCCGTCACGGAAACAACCCCCGCGAAGCTCAGCCGCCATGCCCCGGGTTTCGTACGAGCTCCGGGAAACTTTCCCGAAAAGTCATCGACATATAAAACGACGCGATTTTCCAGTTTCGGAAAGTTCTGGAAAATGGGACGTGGTCTTGGAAAACACGAAGTCCCCGCGGGGCGAGATGTTTTGCCTTAGTTTTACTTGTTAGGCGTACGACCCCGGCATGCGTGCATCTGCCTGTGGCCGGTCATTCTATGTCAGCAGTGTGTGAGCCGCCTACGTGTGCGTAGTGTGTACGTACGCGTGAGCGCTTTGTGTCGCGATGCAAGCGCCGTATAGGCACGCGTGGCTACCTATCACAGCGACGGTAGCGGCGTGGTGCGTGCGCGTGTACGTATGGTTGCAACTCGTCTGTGTGAGTCTACAAAAGCCTACCCGCGCGTGCGTGCGTGCGTGTAAACACTTGCACGTCACCAGTGTTTATTTACGTTGTAAATGCGCGTAAACGTAACGGCGCCAGGCTGTTTACACGCGTTCAGGCTGTATCTGTACAACCACAACACTATTCGTACTAATAATACCAGGTGTATGAGCTATACCAAAAATTATATTGCACTACAGCAGTACTATCTGTACTAACAGTACTAGTAGTAGTAGTTCTGCCGGTACAAGAGCTACTAGCAGTAGTATCTGTGCTTACCGTACTGCAGCAGTACTATTAGTACTAGCTGAAATAAATTATTACTACTATGTTCACGCGCTCGCACAGACCGGGGTATAGGTGAGATGGCTAGCTGGCTCTAGTGGTAGAGGTTACCCTATGTCGGCTATTGCTACCGAGAGGATGGTACAATGGTCAGTCAATCATGCGGTAGCTATGGCTGTGTATGTGCAACCAATTTGCTACCAGGTGTTTGACTTGTAATATAGTTCACTGTCTCTCTCTCTCTCTCTGTCCACCGCGTGTTGGCTTTTGCAATGTTGTTTCCTCTACAGTTCCCGCGGGGTATCGTAGACGCTCACCGCTCCCTAACCGTCGTTCGTACCGGGTAGCTCCACGAGCGTAGCTACCGGCGAGCGTTACCGACGGGGGCAGTCTATGACGGGCTACGTCTGGTGGCGTAGACGAGTAACGTGATGGTCCGTGCGTCTTTCCGTGCGTTCGCCAGCGGTGTAGTCGTGCGTGACACGTCGCCGCCGCTGTCGTGGCGACATGCAAATGCCACGGGCTCCGCGCGCCGCCTCTGTCATTCGACAGGTAAAATGGCAAAGTTGAACTGGTCGGGAGATTTCACACAGGGTTTGTTCGCGATGGCGGTGCGCGAGGTTTCTTGACTGCACTGTATCACTGGAGTTAAAAATTTTCACCGTAGCGGATATTCTATAATGAAGTTCACATTATTTTTCCCCTTGTGGCATTTAGTATTGTTTGTGAAATGTTTTACTGCAGTAAATAGTGTAGCAATAAGCGGCCCTATGCTGTTGATCACTGACTGAACTGGACTTTTTGTTGTGTGTGATACAGTATGAAAGTGGAAATAAAATGATAAAATGTTTGAAAAAACTTATTCTGGTGGGTTTTCCTTGTTTAGTGTCGTACCAATATTAATAACGCATCCGTGCTACTGTAACAACTGCTATGCATTGCTCGACTTAACGTGTGAGACGAAACGCGTGTATCTGCAAATTTGAAAAACCCATTGAAATATATAGAGATCGACACTCCCATGAAGGACACCATCTTTGATTCACCGACCTCATCAGGGTACCTCCACTGACATTTTTCCTGTTGGGCATAGAGAGGGCAGTCACCTATGACTGCCACCTGGCCAGGAATCACAAACTCTATTGGCCTTTTGACCACAAGCATTGAGTGTTTCTGCATGGCCATTGATGAATCCTTCTCGTAGAAGATGGGTGAAACTCCAACTGTGGCCCTTGTCTTGACATCTTCTGTACGTTGGCCATGGGATAAGAACCCAGTGTAGGTCACTGGGGTTTCTTGAAGCTTACCGTCTTTTACTGGCATGATCTTGTGGACATGGCTGAGCCACGCTTCATCAGGCTCCCCTGCTCGGAGATTTTCAGCAAAAGCTGGCCTGGCTGTTCCTTCTGGAATTGATGAAAGGGTGATATCTCCAGCATGTTCATCAATGAATGTAT